GGTGGGGAGGCCTCTGCAGGTATCTGCGTGTGATGGTGGGGTGGGGAGGCCTGTGCTCAGATCCTTGACAGTCTTTGTAAGGCCCTGAGCGTGGGCTAGAGGGGCTTGGAGAGATGGTGTAACCCCTTCACCTGCACCAGAAATCCTGTGCCGAGGTTTTGAAAATTCAGATAATCGTGAATCCTACCTGCATGCATCCAGTTTCTGTGCCATTAGCTTTGAACTGCTGTTTCCCTCCTCGGTCTTGTCAGGGCTCCTCCTAAATGGTTTTCTTTGATTTTGTTCTGTAAGTACAAAGTCTGAAGTGCAAAATCACCATGCAAGCAGATACGCTGTGTACATATATTCTCTCTAGCTAATATAATACTAAGTTTGTTTTAATATCTATTTACTTCTTGCCTGAAATACGTGTCTTGGGATTTTTGTTTTGTTCTGTCTGTAGCAATGGCTTCAGGAACAGCGCTGGTTTACGATGAGGAGATGACCACTCATAAACTACTTTGGAGTGAGTAAGTCGCTGCTGTCCTTTTTATGAATAGATTCTTATTAGGACTTCTGAAAGAAGTACCAAGGAAATGCAGTTTTTGTAAATGTAATAGAAAATACCTAGTGATAGATACCCTGTCATTTTCCTGGTAAATAGAAAGTCTTTCTTTTTGGAGAAAAATTTTAATTTTATTTCCAATTTGTATCCAGATGCCGTAATGATGATCTGAAGCTGGATTTGAGAAGCTGTAGGCCTCCAGTCTGGTAGGCCTTAACAAGAAGTGTTAGCTTTAAGCATCTGCGTAGCCCCCTAAATAAAGTATTTAAAGCTAATTAAATTGTTTATAAAACTACAGTATCATTGATCATGGAAAAAATATGTAGATATACTCACTTAGCTGAAAGCCGTCAATTAATTTCAGTTAGAAATTGATATATGCCATTTACTTAAATTTATATTAATTAGACCAGTACCTTTGCAGTGCTCAGAGTAATGGTCCACTGTTGTCTTCCTTCCCAAACTCAATTCTCCTCTGTTCACCTTCCACTTTTCATTTCAGCATTCCTGTGTCTGTAGTTAAGCATTGTTACTTTCTGCGGTGAGAGAGAAAACAAAAAATGATATAATTGTGTTTCTTTTTTATTTAAGAACCATGGTTTTTTTTTTGGTTACATATTTTAGAACCAATTTTTGGCTCAATTCCGAAACAAAAAGTATTTTATTTTTCTTTTTTATTTTTCTTTTACTCTCACATGTCCCTCTATGAGGGTAATGAATCTTCTCACAATGGGAAGTTAAAAGCTAGGCATTATGAAGTGTATTTGTTAGCTGTGGTGGTATGGTATTATAGTAATGTGATTATTGTTTATTTTTAGTCCTGTTTGTGATATTGAAGTGCCAGAAAGACTGTCATCCTCCTATGAGCTGCTTAAATGTTACCATCTTGTGGAAAGATGTGTCCATGTGCCTGCCAGAGAAGGAAGCGAGGAGGAGATCCTGTTGGTTCACAGGTCTGAAACTTACTTTCATCACCATTCAGATTAATTCAATGAAATAACATATCTCATACCTCCAGGTCATATTTTGCTCCAAAACTCAATGACTCAATGATTTCCAGTAACTTCAATGGAAAATGTGTCATGTTTAAAGTTAGACAAATAATGTTGAGTATGGTGTAGGTGCTGAGGTATGAATCTGCTATTCCACTACATCCCCATTCTCACTCTTTGGGTTCTTAAGCAATGAATGCTGATTTATACACAGGATTTAAAGTAAACTTCTAAAAAAAATTGGAACAAGAGTTTAAAAAGTGTGGAAAAATGGGTTTTCCTTTAGAAAGATAATAACCTCCTCTTTCTCCTAAGCATCTTTGAGATAGAGTGAACCAAACAGAAAAACTTTGCAGCTAATTCTGGCAGTGTTCTGGGAGAGGAACAGCAACCTGCCCCTTCTGAAGTCATGGCAATGAAGTCTGCTCTGGCATTTGTCACCTTGGTGCAATGATTCTGCAACTGACTGCAGATGATTCTGCGTCTTGCTTGTGGGCTCATTTGCCCTTGTCAGGGAGAGGCAAGGGCAGTGAGTCAGGAGCAGAGCATGATGACAAAGCAGCCAGAAGCAGTGGCTTCATGGACAAGGGCACAGTCCCACAGTACCCAAGCAAAGCGAGCAGCACAGGTCCAGTGATGGTAACTGGATTCAGCCATCGAGTTTGGATTGCCCAACGAGGCCATAGTGACATGGCAGGTCTGAGGTCAAGCTAGAGAGTCAGCCCGCAGGTCAGGGTCCAGCTCCAGATCTGTGGTGTTCATGGCCGGACACGGATGTGGCTACACAACACAGCTGCAGTGAAGCCAAGGGCGAGAACCTTATCTTAAAAGCAGGTGCCAAGGGAAGGAGGGGAGCCTCTGCTGAGACTTCTTAGCAGAGCTGATTGCAGGGAAGCTCTGCTGAGGCTCCTTCTAGCTCTTTCTTACAAGGTGACCAGCCGTACTACCTCTAAGCTGGTTCTGAACCCAGCAGCCAAACCCCAGGAGGGAAGGGATGCACTCAGGGCCCTGACACCTGTGATGAGGACCACAGCTTGATCCCAAGTCATGCTTAAATTTTCAGATTCCGGAACAGTATTTTCCTCAGAACATACTTGTTTGTTAGAATGCAGTTAGTGCTGTGTACCAATATAAGTTATTTTCATAGTAAATACATTGCTGATTGGGTACTGAAGAGACTTGATTACTGTTCCCGGTTGAGCTGCTCCTGCTAGATGACTTGGGGACAAATGACTTCACTAAGTCTTGTCTTGGTTTCCATAGGTAAGCTAGAGATAATAGAGCTCTCTCCTTTCTAAAACACTTTTAGATTGAAACAAATATATGATTCCTATAAAAATGTTTTGTATGTGTTCACAGTTAGTTATGCTGATGAACTTAAACTAGTAATTATACAGTCATTCAGGTTCATATGGTTTTATTCCTGTTAACAGCTTCATTTTGAAGCCACTGTTTAGCTTTATTTCCATTAGGCAGCACTAGTGCATCTCATTTTGTTGTGGAATTCTGGTTGCTTTGGCGTTGTCCACCTAGAGGAACGCATATGGTCATTGTATCCTGGATTAGGTCACAGATGGGAGAGCAGATGCCACCAGCCTCCATTTCCGGCTCCCTACACAAGAGCAGGAGAGCGGTGACAGAGAACTGGGGGAACATTGATTCTAGCTTTAGTACTTACTGCACTCTTGAACCAGGGAAAAGAGGGAGTTAGTACACACCTGATAAGGGATTCATTCAAATACTTGTTTTCCATAGAACAAGGGAGCACTAGACACATTCTCAGAGTTATAATTCACACTCTGATGACTGTCAGAATCCTAATTTAGTTCTTGTTGAGGTGGTATCTATATGTAGCATGGCTTGCAAAATAGATTGTTGCATGATGAACAAAGTATCTTTTTTTGAAAGCGAGAGTGATTGCTTTTGCCACTGGAAAAGGGAGAAGAATGTCATATTCTTAAGATAGCCAGAACTCTTGCTTTCATAGCGCTCTGTATTTTTTTTCACTATATCCTGTAACTAGCATTCCAGAGTACCTATTGGACTGGTGAAGTCTCACAGAAAGCCCCTTTTAACATATATTCTGTTACTTTTAATTACATTTTGCATTTTAAAAAAACTTTTATAGGTCTATTTGCTTAGTTAAGTGTTGTGTTAATCTCTCTCTCCTCTGCAGTCCAGAACACTTGGAAGTGGCGAAAAGCACCCAGACAATGAAAGAAGAGGAACTGAAAAGTGTCTCTGGAAATTATGATGCTTTTTTCTTTCATCCGGTGCGTAAGTTAAACTGCTTCCTCTATTGGGAGTTACAAGTATTTGCATTTGAGTGGCACTTTCCTAAGTAGGGGAAAATTAGCAATACATTTTTTTTGGTATTTAAGTAGACTTACATATATTTATGACATTATTGTTATCTGTTTCAAGTTTAGTGTAATGCTGTAATTTAAATCGGTTAAGTGTCATCTATTCTGTAATTGCATCATGCCAGTATAGCGCACTACTCAAATTTTAGCTCTGTTTTTGTCACTTAATGTCACTGTAGACCATTAGCGTCGTGCAAATCGCATTTTGGTAACAGTCGCTCTTAAATGTTGTGCCAGGTAATGGAGGTGAAGTCTTTCGTGTTTTGTTTCTGTAAGGTTTCATTCCTTATTTTCAAAGACACCATGTTATTCCACTAGTCAGTTCAGTATGTCCGTCTCATGTTTCTTAAGAGTTCCAGAGAGAACATCCTTATAAGGGATATGGTGATCACAGGTAAACCTAGTAGAAAGCACATTGGAATGTGTGTGGTGAAATTCTGCTTTCAACTATCTGCGTACAACCTCAGTAGGGTAGACTTATGTCAAGACAATTTGCTGTTGGGGTGCAAAAGCATGTCATGTGTGATTAGTTGAAAACAAGCTGATGAGTGATTGATGACACCTAAGAGATTCTCTTTTTCAGAACACGTATCGCTGTGCCAGACTAGCAGTAGGAGCAACTTTGCAGCTGGTGGACGCTGTGATGTCAGGAAAAGTGTGCAATGGAATGGCATTAGTAAGGTAAGAAAATATGTGAGAAAGTCTCCAGTTCTCCCCAAAACTTCCTGTGTTGTCAGTAACCATATAAAACTTTGTTTTAGACCTCCAGGTCACCACAGCCAGAGAAATGCAGCTAATGGGTTCTGTTTGTTCAACAATGTTGCTATTGCAGCCGAATATGCAAAACTGAAATATGGTCTACAGAGGTAAGTGCATGGTTGACCCTAGAGAAGCTTATTGTATGCAAGTGCGGCATTTAGATAACAGTTTGACATGGCACTGTTTTAGATTAATGTCTAGAGCTTTCTGGGTGTCATGTAACTCTTGCAATAGAAAAACATTATTCATCAGTACCTCATTTAGATCAAGATGCTGTGGTTCTTCCACTGAATGTTTTCTTTTACTGATCTATGCAGAATCCTAATTGTTGACTGGGATGTGCACCATGGGCAAGGAACTCAATATATATTTGAAGAGGATCCAAGGTTTGAAGGATATGTTATTTATTTTTTATGTTAGCTGATTAAATATTGCTTTCCTCTGTAATGAATTAGATTTCTTAACTTCCTAAAACTAGAATCTTACAAAACACGAAACATTCTCCTTGCTATTTTAGTCAGTCTTGTTTTTACTTGTTAGCAAATAGAGGGAAAATTCTTAACAAAAAGAACTATGTAAATCTATCCTACTGTAAAGAATAACAAACAAAGTGAGCAATATGACTGCCTTGGTCTGCCAATAGTAAGATCCCTCTGTGACAGTATTCAGGTAGTATCTCTATTCTCTCTATTCAGGAATCTCTCAGTTCAGGTATTCAAGTGGTAGTCGGATAAACACATTGTTTTCTGGAAAGCCACAGAATTAGATTCTAGAAACTCTTCTGAAAATGCCTTGTCTTTGATGTGAAGGGATTGCATGCATACAATATTTTTTAGCAGTTGTCCTAGGATAATTTTGGCATAGGACGTACTGTACCAAGTTTCACAGTCCAAGTCCATTAAAAGAATTAAGGGGAAAGGACGATTCTATTTTCTTGCTTTTAGTCAATACAGCCACCAGGCTTAGGATATAAAGTCAGTTTCAGAATCTTTTTGTCAAGTTGGATTTATTTCTTGTATCTTTCAGTGTTTTATATTTTTCCTGGCATCGCTATGAACATCAGGAATTCTGGCCATCACTCAAAGAATCTGATTATGATGCTGTGGGTCTGGGAAAAGGAAAAGGTTTTAACATAAATTTGCCTTGGAACAAGGTAAATGTTGTTTACAGCACCACAAAGCAAATGCAATAGCTTTCTATCTCATGCTTTATGTAGCACTTTCTGAGAAGTGCACTGCTTCACTTGCTTGGCAGGTGTCTCAGCACAGTGTACCTCCTTCCTGTCAGTGGAATATCTGCTGAGAAATATGACTCAGAATATGATAATGTTGGGAGGAGGGGGGGAAAAGGAGAGAGAGAAACATGCACATACTCTTTTTTTCTTGAATGTCTTGCCTAGGCATCAAAACAGAAAGTTTCAGGAGATGATTACATCCATCTTTGTTAGAGAAAAATGGTGGATATTTATGCACTTTACTTAAATGGAGTTTGTTTTGCTTGACCTCATAAGGTTCCCTTATCTTTAACTTTTGATACTTTCTTTCTCTAAAGTTTTGAAGAACCTTAGAAAATTTGTTATTCCAACAGGAAAATATGACCTATATTTCTCACATTTTGCAGGTTGGGATGGGAAATTCAGATTATCTTGCTGCATTTTTCCATGTGTTGCTTCCAATGGCTTTTGAGGTAATTTTTTACTGCTCTGCTATTTGAATAGCAAAACTAAAGACTACTTCCTAAGTACTTCTTAAGCAGGTACCATTGAATATTTTGTAGAAATGCAGTAATTGCCAGTAGCACAATTAACACATTATTTCTGCTGGTCTGAATAATGTCCTGATCAACTGAATAATATTTATGGAATGTTAGCTTTTCAATATTCAATATAATGACTTGCAACTTCTTTAACAGGAATGAAAATATTATAAAAGGGTAATCTTAGTTTTTATTTAAGGAGAGTCTTTATTTGTGTTCATATTCTAGCTGAAAAAACAACTGAACATGGTAGAGTTGAAATCCAGTACAAAATTGAAAATAGGACATAAGAATGTGCTACAACTCTCTCTGTTTTATAACAGTTTGATCCTGAACTGGTTCTTGTCTCCTCTGGATACGATTCTGGAATTGGAGACCCTGAAGTAAGTAACTTGTTGTCGTCTTTGTGTTGTCAGTCATGAATCTGTTTGCAAAATATTCCTACCGCTTAAATGTCCTGTGATTGTTAGTTGAAATTCACTTTGGCCAAGCTAAAAATACATGTTTGAGTCTTTAAGCTGACTCTAGCTCATTAAATACTACAACAAGACATGTAAAGACAAATTATCCCATAGGCATAATTACTGTGTTGGTTTTTGCACCTTCCTTTAAAGCAGTTGGTTCAGCATTTTGTTAGATACAATGAGAGGGGCAAGCGTTCCAGTATTCCAACTCAGACTCATGTATTTCAGATTGCATGGGGCTTTTTTTACAAATGTTTTTGATTCAGGGCTTTATCACTTAAAATTTTTTCTTTGATTTAGGGTCAGATGAACGCCACTCCTGAGGTTTTTGCCCACCTTACCCACTTCCTGATGCAGTTAGCTAATGGAAAGCTGTGTGTCATCCTAGAGGTAAAGGCTTCGGAAATGTACTCCCAGGGGAAGGATCTTTGTATTAGAGCCATATAGGGCAAGCTAGAACCTAGGAAGCGAAACTTCTTAATAATTTATTCTTTTTATCTTTCTTTTGAGAATCAGGAATGCAAAAACGGCTAAGATTTGACAATGCTCTTATACATTAAAAGAAATGCATGTCTTAAACTGATTTTTTTAACTTACAGTTTTGAAACAGAGGAGCATATGCTCATTGTTCAAAAAAACATATCCTCCACAGATATGTTCAGTTCTTGTGAACAGTGACTAGATTGCTGCTCTGGACAGTCCCCAACTCATTAAAATGTATTTAGTGAATAAGCTGCATTACCAATGTTTTTGCAAATATGTCTTACTCCAGGAGAGTTTAAAAGAACTTTAACCTAATTATACTCTTAGTAATGGAGCCCTTACTAAACTCCATCTTTTTTGATTAAAAGCCTCTATGCAAGCTCCTTTTTTAAGAGCTCTTTCTTTTTTTTTAAAACAACTGAAAATGTTTCTTCCTTTTGAAATCTAGATTTCAACTTCCTATTTCTGCTGCATGTTAGAAAAATGGTGGCTTTTCAGGTAAATGACTGTGTGGAAATACTACTGCCAACAAGGCCTCCAAGAGTGAACTGTTTATGAATTGATTCACTTGACGCCTGTTTTGCATGACCTTTCTTCCATCATCCTTCTCTCCAGCAGATTATTATTATATAGATATTTCTGTCTACTAGCTGAAGTGCAAATTAGCATCCCATCCTAATACAGATGATGTGACTGCTCCACAGGTGGTATGCAGGAAGCAGTCTATCATCTGCAATCTAGCAGTCTTAAATCTACCTTCAGTCGTTCTCCAAATTCTGCGAAACTATTAGGACAATCACATCTTACAAGTGTCAGGCTGTGGGAGATTTCCCTTGTACAGACATTTTAGAGGACAGTGATAGTATTTGCCTTCTAAGGTATCTTCCACAAGAATTGTTGAAGATGGCATATCATGGATAGGAATGGAGAAGACGTATGTTTCCAGGGTTTTCATGGCAAAGTCATGACTGATTTCCAAAATGAATCGAACCATGATAAAGTGAGTTGAATCATGAGATACCAGTGAAGTTCAGCAAGTAGCCTCTAACTTACTGTTTTCATACTGAAAATCATTGACTTAGATGTACTTGTGTATCATCTTCCGTTTCTGTAAATTCAGATATGTTTTAAAAGTTTAATTTATTTTCCGTGATGATATTCAGATAGATGTTACAAGTACTTGTTCCTTAGGTGACACAAAATACTTTTTTCTAGGGTGGATACCACTTAAAGTCATTGTCTGAATCAGTCTGCATGACTGTAAAAACTTTGCTTGGAGATCCTGTACCTCAAATAACTGGAGAAATGGCACCTTGCCTAAGGTAAACATATGAAGAATTTTAGAACAACCTGTGTATTTGTCAAAGAGACTAAAGACATGCATGCTTTGAACATTTTGCTGAAGCAAGGTTTTAATATGATGCTTTATAATATATTATTTTCTGCTTTGGATAACTTGCTTTCCAAAAAAGTCACCCCAAGGTGCAGTTTTGTATACTTTTGTTTCTGAAATTATTTCGAGTTGCAAGAACTTCTTAATGGCTTATAATTTTATGCTATTTATCCTTGGGCTTGTTATTCTGTAAAGATCCATCTCACTCAAGGCTGAGACAATCCTCCTGTAATCAAGGCAATGCCAGTTAATAACAGCCAGTATTTGGGAAAGTACGTAATTGCAAGGATTAGTTCTTCAGACTCCAGAGCCACTTCAGTTGTTGTGGTACAGCAATAGCTGGAGCTAACCTTTCTCTCATCAGTGAGAGCTGACGCTGTGCAGAGCCAGTCTTGATGATTCCTTGCATTTCTGGAATTTGGAGCATCGAGGCCTGGGGTGCGAAAGCACTCCACTGTGTGGAGCTGTAGCAAGATAATTAAACTTCGGGTCTAACTTCTTTATGGAGACAGTAAGACTGTGTTTGCACAGTTGTGAATCTGACCTAGTAAAGCATTCTGAACCTTGGGCCTGAGTCAGTCCCACATCTAAACAGCGTCTTTCTCTCTATCTGTCTGTACCATCTCCTCCACATTTCCATGTTCCGTCCTCAGTCTCTCTTCCACCTCAATAGTTGTTCCATGCTTTTTTCAGCAGTAATGCTCCTCGTGTATTTTGGTGGGTAGAAGGCAGCATCTGCCAGTTGGCTGTGTTAGTTAAAACTCGGAGCTCAGATCAGTCAGGGAAGCAGTGCAGATATAAACAGGCTGTGGGCAGAGTTGGGTTTGGCAAACTGTGATGGAGCAAAGCTGGTTATTTTGCTCCCAGTACGTCCCATAGCCCCTGTATCATCTCTTTTTCTTTTCTACCAACTGTAGTATCTCAGCTTGCTATCATCCTAGGCAATACAGAGATGATTACATATTTATCCATTATATCAGTCCAGCTCCTGAACACCTTTCAAACAACCTCCAAGTACACAGAATTTGTCCTGGATTTAACATGACCTGAATTATGTTTGTATGATAGCTAACGTAATAGAACCATCTGCCTATAGTGCTGCAAATGCCAGTGATAATAAAAAAGCAATTTCAACACAAAGAATAACAGGGAATGTGATTTGCTTGGTTCCTGAATAGATAGTCTTGCTTTTGAGTAAATCTAATTACATCTTTACATTCTGTAGATAAAACCTCTGACAGAGCAAAGAAAGACAGGTGAAATCTTGCCTGTCCTGAAGTCAGGGACAGGTGTGCTTCCTCCAACAGCAGGGTGGGATTTCATTCAATGTGTGTAAACGTGTGTATGTACTGCATGTGTTCTTCACTTTTCTTTTTTGACTCTTGAATCTAATCTTTCCAAGCAGTCTGCGCATTGACTCTCATTCTCTTTATCTTTCTGTTCTGCATTCTTGGAATAGACCAGAGCTTGTTTATTTTCAGTTGGATTTTTTGGTTTTGCTTTTTCATTGAGGTAAGTTTTATGTTTCCTGTATTTTCATTAGTGCTGATACTGTTAACCCTGTTTCTTTTGTAGTGCTGTTGAATCTATTCAAAATGTGAGAGCAGCACATAAACCCTACTGGAAATGGTTGATGTATGAAGGTAATTACTCTTCTCTTTCTTCAAGCAAGTGGGACTGGTAAATGGATTCATACAGAAATTAAAAATGATTAATATCAGTGGATTAAAATAATTGAACTCTCAGTTATTCATCAAGTGACTGATGAAGCGCTATGAGGCTTCATTCAAGGCCATGTCTTCAGCTGGTCTGAAAAGAACTTAACTTCTGAAGTCAGCAAACATCAGCCTAAAAGTAGCTGTTTGATATCTTTGTTTGAGGATGCTGTTTTCTGTGTCAAAAATATGGGCGTAAGATTTATTATCATTTATGACCTTTCACTAGATTAAAACAAACAGCACTGAAAAATAACATCTGTGGCAGGAAATATTGTTCTAGTGCATGGAAATAAATATGCATACTGTGAATACAGATGTGCTCTGTTTTGTAAATAAATGTAACCAAATATTAACACACTGCTCAGGAATTAATATGTGTGAAACAGTTCTTTTTTCTTTCTCCAGACACATCATTTTTACAAAATTTGAGCACCAAATTGCATCTACTAAAGAAGGCTAATACAAATCCCTCCACAGAACAGGAATTCAAGATGACTAACAACGATGAAACTGTCAAAGTAGAAAGGTTTTTGGAACTGCACATGAAAAATATTCTATTTCCAGTGCCTCCCATCAAAACAGCAACAACAACTGACTCTAAATGTTCAGCACATTTGTTCCCTGTACCCATTCATTTGGTGAAGGAAATGGAGAAAACTGAAATAAAAGCTCTTGTCAGGTTGGTCATATCTATTTAATTTTCAACATAATTATGAGGATGAGAGGTCTCTGTACAGACTGTCTTCTAGCTCGCTTTCTGCCATGGTCATCTTTTAGGCCTTAGTCTACTCAATTATAGCCAGAGTTTCTTTCTTTGAAAAATGAAGACATTGGTGCTGGTTATCACTCGTAGCCTTGAAGTCCTTTAAAGAACTAATCAGAATACTTTTAAAGAAAACTGTTTCAATGGAGATGGAACACTTAGTGCAAATGTATTCATTTAGAAAGAGATTTTGCTAGGAAGGTGCTTAAAGCTCTGTGTTCACTTTTAGCTGAAAAAAATACCAAACTGTTCTGATTTGAGAGGCTCAACTTTTTGTCTTAGAAAGTCTAATTTTGACAGAACTCTATTCCCTGAATATTGTCAGACATTTTTGTTTTCTTTCCAGAGCAGAATGGAGACAGGTTTGTAGAGCTCAAGACTGTCAGGCAACAGTGTTGTCATCTTCCTGCTAGAGCTAGATTTTTGAGAATGAATGTGTAGCACCTATACAAAACGTACCCAGTCAATACTAACTGCGAAGAACTGTATCAGTGTCCTCTTCAAAAGTGTTATTGCCTCTAACCTAGTTTTTCTTCATATAATTTATTTTACAGTGGCTTTTATGCAGACCTTGTGAAAGAGGACAAAACTTTGCTTTCTCTTGGCAGTGTGTTGGCCATCCTAGATAAAATACTGAAGAAGGAGGTAATAGTAAACTGCTTTGGTCTTGGGGGGTGGGTGGAGAGTTGGATTCCTCTGATTTCTGCTTCTACTATGTTGTCATTCAGGTATTAGTTACTGTATGGTTCACAACCCCACTAATCTCAGCTAGAATGTGCTTAGCTACAAGAGTGAGCGTGCAAGATGAGAAAACAACTATTTAGGGATAGTTGTTAACCCCAAGACAACTTTCTAATAATCTTTGTACAAGACATTGTCCTGCTTTCCTGCAGTCACAGCATATGAGTCGGTAACAACCTTCTTATCACTCTCAGACATACAGGTGAGCCAGGCATTCACTCTTCCAGTTAAGGGGAGCAGAAGGTGGTGTGTCAAGCACTATTGAGCAGCAGCAAGAAGTCTAAGCAATAAATGTCAAAAATTTTCCTGTCTCAGTGCACAGAGTTTTGCCTTCTGTCTTTAGGACAGAGTTTACTTCTGCATTACCCTTCATTACAAGATGCTGTGCTATGTGCAGCTGCACCCACTTACCATTATTTGTACAACAATTTACTCAGAGTAAATTTTGATTTACACACATGCACATACTGCTTTAGTGGAGCTGTTGAAAACACCACTCTATGCTGTGATTCTGAACAGAGTAATTCCAATTCAGCATTTTGATTCTTGCAGGGTCAGAAATGAAGAGAAAGCAGGCTTAGAGCATGCACATTTGTATTTATGTATAAAAACTTGGAGAAGCAAAGAGGAAAAACTGCAAACAAGTTAAGAAAACAAGAGATTATTACATCATAATAAATGAGTCTCTCCCTTTGAGAGAAAAGCTCTCTTTAAAGTACCAGGCCTGAGAGGAAAAGTAGCTGCCAGAATGGCCTCTTTCTTGTAAGCCATCTTCTTGCTATTGGAAGTCATGTATGTAGATCTCGGAGAAATTTCTAACCTTATAGACTGCACATACCTCTAGGAGAGCCTATAAATAGATTAAAAAAAATTGGTAACTGGCAAAAAGAAATAGAACTTTTCATGAGTTGCAGATGCTAAGCTGAGCTTTTTCTGTTGACAAATACAAGGAAGAGGAGTGAGGAGGGGGAACATGCATTATCTTTTTGCGTAGCTTTCATGTAGCGTTCAAAGCACTACACAACACATATGAACACTGAAAGGTTGACTAAGTAATACTGTCATAGTATTTTCCAGAAAGGAATAGCTTGCCTAGGTTAAAGGAAGAGTCAGAATTAGAATTCAGGGACAACGTCCTTTTCATGGGGTGTATTTTTCTGGTGCAGTTTGCCTGCTGGCACACTGAATGTGTGTGTCCAATCTGCAGACTATTGAGAGAACCAGTAAAGATGACCTTCCCCTGCAAAAGCTATTTTTACAGTTGCCTTTCAGCATAGCACCATGCTTTTGAAGTAATAGAACTGCTCTTCGCATAATGATCAAATATGGCCTTTCTGTTGAAAATTAACATTTTTCTTAACCCTACTATGATAGATCATTAAGATCCCTTTCATGCAGCTGTAGCTTTGTTTGAACGGTAAAGTATAAACAACTAGAAATACAGTTGTTACAAATAAAAATTGACATGATCTTGTGCAGCATTAATTACTTATGAGTGAAAAATACATTTTGTAGGTATGCAATGGAGTTGCAGAATCACCCACAGCTGCTGTTTCTGTTGCTGTTGCACTAAGACATTCCGTTCGTTTTGGATTTCAGAGGTGAATTTGTATCTTTTGCATTTGGGGCCCGTTGCCAAAAGGTGAAAATAAGATAAAAGTGTGTGAAATACGGCAAATTGCCTTTGAAACCTTAATTTTAAAACAAATAGCATTTCCATATGCATAGCATTTTCAGTATGTAGTACAGACAATATTGTATATGCCAGCAAAAACCTTTTGCCTTACCCAAGGCAAAACATTTGTAAGGATGGCTGCTGTGCTAACCTACATTTTCTTTGTCAGATTTTGATTGTCTTTGGCCTGAGGACATTTTCTTGGTTTTGTTTTTTCTCCCCAGTATTTGATGGGAGAAAAGGAGTTCCCTTGACCTGTCATAAATGTGTTTTCTTTATACTTTTAATGGACTGAATTCAGAAACAACATACATTCTTTTTTATGCATCTAATCTACATGCAAACTCTTTAAACAAATTGCAGTAATTGAAAAAAGTTGCTTGTAGATGTAAATGTATATATATTTTTTGTTTGTTTGTTTTCTGCAGAGTGCTTTGTATATTTGTTGGAGACATGCAAATCATACCGAACACAGAAGATGGGTGAGGTTTCTCTTTACTTCAGGGAGTCAAATTCCCAAAGGCTTTATAAATGTTCATAAGTGTCCGTATGTATGATGAAATCTGCACTAAGGAATCAGTCATGAGCTGATGTTCATTAAGTTTAGCCTGAGACAAAATACAAAACATCTCCAAATGTATCTAAAGACAAACTGCTATCTCTAAATGCCACTTTAAAGAGTTTAGTGGTAGGTTTAAAGTATAATCCCTCTATATTAATTGAAATTTAGATTGTTATTGAAAGTAGAATATTGAAAACAGAAAGTAATAAAGAATGCAATTATTAATTATATAGGGTGTACCCCCCTATAACTGCAGGGGGCATATACTGCTGATGCTGAGTTCCTTACTGAAAGTCATCTTTACTCATCTATAACTTTTTTTGCCACTTCGCCTTTTTGTTAAAAGTAATTTGCCCATAGTCTTTAATATTCTCCTTAAAGATAGCTTAAAAAGGATTTCAGTTATAATTGGTGTTTACATTATGGCATGTAGTAATGCAAATAGTTATTTGTTCCTGTGTTATGAATGAGTATTTGAAGAAAGATGAAAGAAAATACCTTTTTATCTCATTGGAAGTTGCTGGTTAAATACTCAGATGTCGTTTTTATTCACAGAAAAATACTCATGATACATATTTGTGAGAAAGAACAGTCTGGAAAGGCCAGCTCTAAACACTGTATTTCTCTGAACTGGAAAGGGGTAAGATTCACTTTCTGGAAACAACAGAAGAGAAAAACTTTTTTAACAGAAATAGTAGAATATATTTACAAATTCATAAAATGACACTGAAAATTACACCCCTCGCTGCAATTTGGATCTTTGAAAATACTGCTTTTGCTTGCCCTTGCCAGGGTGCTACTCCTTCACAGATCTTTAGAGTGTATTAGAATGCACAGGTTTGAGGAAACCTTCAGTAGCTACTGTAGTTCATCTTCAAGCAGGCAGAGTTGCAGTGCGAAGACACTAAGGAAGAGACAAATAATCTGCATGTTTAATATAAAAATTGCTGTGAAAATAGATCAGTATCCTGTTTCCTAGGTCAATCAAAAGCTTTTTGAGATTCATCTTACTGTTTTGTTTTGTATCTGGGAATTTGGGGCTTTACATTTGTGCTGAACAGTTTCTCATTGTTGTTAAAGGATGCTGAAGGAAATGACTTCTTTTCTGCTGTGCTTGGATTCATTCTTCCTGTAGCATATAGTTATCAACCTAACTTGACAGTAATAGCTGTTGGACCAAACAGGAGCCTTGGAATAAGTGAAATTTCTCTGCTTTTTGCTTTACTACAAGGATTAGCTGAGTCTCGAATTTTTGGAGTGATCGAGGTAAGAAGTGGTGCTAAGCTGTGGTAGTTCGAAGTGCCTAGGACAGAACTCAGATCAAACAGCAGCGTGCTTGGGGTGAACTGTTTCAAGCTGCCCAGTAGAAAATATTGGCTGTATCTATACTGTCTTTGGTACCCCTGAGTTCATGATGCAAATAGCCCAAGTTTCTCTCTGGCCTGAGAACAAGACCAGACACAGATGCATACCGAGCTGTAGGCAGCCTCCGTGATTGAGAAGCTGAGGCATGAATGCAAGCCCATGGTTACGGTTATGTCTATAGACAGTACACGTTCTGACAGTTTGCCACAGTTTGGGGATTAACTTCCCTTTCCACCTGGGATTCACAGCTCAGAGTTGTCTCCTGAAAAGAGACACTTGTTGTCTGTTAATTATATGGCCTTTTTCTATCAAAAGTGATTGAAAGCAGCCCATTGTCCTGTTTATCATAAAACACTAAATTTCCTCTCCTTCTGTCCCCCATGCTTTACTTTATCACACATGACTTCCATCATGCAGAAAACAAATCAAAATGGCACATATCCTTTAAGTGAACTTAATTGCCATAATACATAACTGAAGACCAATCTACCCCAGCTTTGTGTTTCTGATAGAAAGCATGGGAAAGGAAATAAAGAATATTTCTAGTCTAGTTTTTCCATACACTACCACATTAAGGATTTCTAAATTTAGGAAGTCGGAGGCTGTATCCAGACCATGTGTGATAAGTGCCAGTGAGCATATCTTCCATGAATTTGTCTAATCTCTTAAAGAACTCAAGTTACGTTCTTGGCCTCTGCAGCATCTTGTGGCTGTGAGTAACACAATTTCTTGTGTGTTCTGTGAAACAGTAACTTTTCATTGCTTTTGTGCCTCCTAGTTCTTTTTTAATGAGAAACAATGAATAATTGTTCATGTATGCAATTTTATTCTAATCTGTTTCCCAGCAAGTATCCAATTAAAGACATGCTATTCATTAAGCTGCCAATTGAGTGGATTTTGACATACTTTATTTTGTAGTCTTCTGAAGTGTTATTTGTTTTAATTTACAGTGCTGATATGTAAATTGCCTAAGCTAATATAATTTGTACATTGATATACAGTATTCAGAAGTAGTGTATTTGCACATTACTAATTAGGAGTATGAAATGGAAAGAATTACTGGTATTCTGAAGGGTAAACTCAGAGATAAAAAGGAAGTTGGACATATATCTTTAAGAAGTGACTGAGAGTTTTATATTGGTACTCTGCAGGTAGCTCCATAACAGGATTATCTAATGTGTGGGGATTTTCTAATGCATGGGTTTGGCTTTTTAGAATAATTGAAAAAAGACTTCCATCTTTTAAAAATAAAGTAGAGTTACAGTCTTCAAAATAAATGTTAATAATCCTCATATACTATGGACACCTCAGAATATGATTTCTGTGAGCAAATAACATGAATTTAGATTGTCAGGAGTCCAAAAATTGTCACTTTCTGATGAAGCAAAATATATCACTATTTTTTACAGATAGAAAATAAATGATGCATGAAGTAAACAAGCTCCATGCTCCCCTTCCCTCCTAACATTTTCTACCTTTAACCCAGCACTGTTTCTTT